TGTGCACAGCCTATCCACAGGCCTGTGGTAGGCTTATCGGTAGGCTGTGCGTAGGCCAATCGCGGAGCGCCGGCCCTCTCACAGGCCTGTGGTAGGCCAATCGATAGGCTGTACATAGGCCTATCGCGGGGCGCTGGCCGTCGCAGAGGCCTGTGCACAGCCTGTCCACAAGCCTGTGGTAGGCCCATCGGTAGGTTGTGCATAGGCCAATCGCGGGACGCCGGCCATCTCAGAGGCCGGTGTTTCTGTGTGTGTGTCAACGGGCCTGTGGTAAGCCTATCGGTAGGTCGTGCATAGGCCTATCGTGCGACGCCGGCCTTCGCGCAGGCCTTTGGTAGGCCTAGTGGTAGGCTGTGCATAGGCCTATCGCGCGGCGCCGGCCGTCGCGGAGGCCTTTGCACAGCGTGTCCACAGGCCTGTGGTAGGCCTATCGGTAGGCTGTGCATGGGCCTATCGCGGGGCGCCACCGTCGCGGAGGCCTTTGCATAGCGTGTCCACAGGCCTGTGGTAGGCCTATCGGTAGGCTGTGCATAGGCCTATCGCGGGGCGCTGGCCGTTACAGAGGCCTGTACAGAGCCTGTCCGCAGGCCTGTGGTAGGCCCTTCGGTAGGCTGTGCATGGGCCAATCGCGGAGCGGCGGCCGTCGCAGAGGCCTGTGCAGAGCCTGTCCACAGGTCTGTGGTAGGCCTATCGGCAAAGGCCTGTGGTAGGACTATCGGCAGGCCGTGCGTAGGTCTATCGCGAGGCGCTGGCCGTCGCAGAAGCCTGTGCACAGCCTGTCCACAGGGCTGCGGCAGACCTATCGGCAGGCTGTGCGTAGGCCTACGCAGAAGCTATGGATAGGCTATGCGCAGGTCTGTGTCCAGAGTGCGCACAGGCGTCGAAGTGGCCTATCGGTAGGCCTATCGATAGGCCTATGGGTAGGGTGTGCATGGATGGGCTGTGCATAGGGCTGCCGCAGACCTGTCGACAGGCTATGTACAGGCCTATGGTAGCCTTCTGTGTAGGCTATGCATAGGCCGTCGTCAGAGGCGTCCACAGACCTGTGCACACCCTATGGACAGGCCTACGATCGGCCTGTGCATCGGCTATGCGTAGGCCTGTCAAAGGCCTACGCGTAGCCTATACATAGGCCAACAGGGCACCCATCGTAGGCTATGCGTAGGCTATCGTCCGGATTGTTGATTGCGACAAAGAGCAAGCGCAGCCAGCGTGGCAGCGCCCGGCAAATGCGTCAGAGCGCGGGCCGAGATGTGGAGCTGACCAGTCGCCGTGGACCAAGAACACGAGTGCAGGCCTCCCAGGGCTGCTCGACTCACCCGTCGGGCAAGCCGGGCCAGAGGCGAGCATCGCCGGGGAGCCCCAGCCCTTGCAACTCGCGCGTGCAGCGCGCATTCCCTTCCTCTTTTCCAGCTGATCCTCGAGCAGGGCTGGCCGCAGGCAGCCTCCGCGGCCTCGAATTGTCCGCCCCATGCGGCTTCGAATTGTCAGCCAGCAAGGTCCTTCCCAGACGGCCAGGGATTGTCCGCCCTCCGTCGGTCAGGCTGGGGCCGGACAGTGCGAAACAACACAGGGGTGCCACGTCTCAACCCGAAAACCGTGAGAAAACAAAAATCCAACATGGGGCCAGACAGCGTGAAACAACGCAGGGGTGCCACGTGTCAAAAAGAAAGTCGCGTGAGAAAAACGATTGCTTCACTCGCACGTCTCGGCATTGCCTTTCCCCGCCCTGCATTGTGGATCGGAACTTCTGCTTTCCACGCAGGGCCGGCCGAGGGCAGCCCCGCGCCCTCGGTGGCGTCGATGAGCTGCCGCGGGGCCTCCACGATGGCGGCGCGGAGCGCTCCGCGCGCCCGCGCCCCGCGGAGGACGGCGCCGCGTGCGCCCGGTTCACCGACTCGACCTGGCCGCCTCGGCGTCCGCCGCCCGCTCCACGACGGCGTGCAGTCGAAACGCTGTCGCGCGGAACCGTGGATAAGGAACGAGGCCCTGCTTTTCCAGATGTTAGATTTCGATTTCCCATGGGAAAACCTCAGGCACACCTAAAGCAAGCTGCGCGACAGTTCAGGGTCACTGAGCCCATCCCCGACGAAAACGGTTCCTTCTTCAGCGGCGCGACTGTAGACGGAGCCATCGCCATCGGACCGGTCGAGAGAGGTGCCCCGTGCTCCGAAGCCCAGGGGGCCCCAGCCCTTGCAACTCGTGCGCATGTCGCAGATCTCCTTCCACTTTTCCATCTCGCCAGGAGGAGGTAGGGGAGGAGGAGGAGGAGAAGGAGGAGTTCCCCAGCTCACCCTCGACCAAGGCACGCAGGAGACGCGGTCTCGGTGGCGTCGATGCGCCGCTGTGGGGCCTCCGCCTTGAAGAGGCGCGGTGCGCGCAACGCGCCCACGCGCCGCGGAGGACAGCAAATCGCGCGCGCCCAGTCCATCGACTCGACCTGTCCCGAACAGCGGGCCGTGGCCTCGGCGTCCGCTGCCCGCTCCACGGCGGCGTGCAATCGCAACGCTGTCACAAGGAACCCCAAATAAGCAACGAGGCCCAGGGCTGAGCCCGAACGGTGTTGCTCGTTTTCGTTTCGTTTGTCGCCCTTCCTCGCTTGGCCTTCGCGTCGCATTGAATGCGGAACAGAATGCGGCCCACGAGATGGCCAAACAACCGTTTAGGACCAGCCCTGATGAGGCCAGATGTGGTACTTCGATTTCCCATGGAAGGCCTCAAGAACACCTAAAATAAGCTGCACAAGAAGTCAAGAGCACTGAGCCCCTCCCCGGCGAAGATGGTTCCTTCTTCAGCGGCCCGACTGTAGACGGAGCCATCATCATCGGTCTGGTCGAGAGAGATGCCCTGTGGTCCGAAGAGGCTAACGGCCCAACCGACAGCAGAATTGATTCACCCGAAACTGATTTTCCGCTGAATCTACCAAACATACGTTGAATGCCGCGTGAATCCACAGGGCATTCTACGCAGTTGCCGCACCTCGAGGGGAAACGGGCACAGTTCGCGGGCAGCTCAGCTCTGCAGCCGATCTCCAGCTCGACTCGTGTACCCGGGGCCGACGCTGCCTTCGAAGCAACACCCCACGCCCGGCAGCAGCGCGGCCAACCCGTCCTGGCCCGCGGCGGCCCCACGCACGGCAGCGCCCCCCTGGCGCAAGAGGCGCCCTCTGCCCCGGACCCAGTGTCGTGTGTTGCTGGAAGTGCCCCTGGCCCAAGGTGTCACCCCGAGAATCCTGGGGGCACCTTGGGCCAGGGGTCCTTCTAGCAACACCCGACAGTGCTCCGCCCCGCGCGCCGCAGCCGCCCACGAGGTGGGCCTCGCCACCGAGGCCCTGCACGCTTCGCGGGCGGAGCCCCACGCAGCTGGACCCACTCGAGGCGCGGCTGCGCCCAGCACGACTTCAAGAGGTCTTTTAACAGGCGTCCGGAGAGATCGCCATAAGAGAGGAATTGTGCACGGGCGCAGGCCTGTCTTCTGTCCCGAGGGTCATCGAATCCCACAGCGGCGGCGGGGGGAAGACGGCACGGCAGACTTTGGACACGATTGTCCAAGCACGTGAGCGCCTGCTGGCGCGGGGAGTCGGAGGGGGAGAGCTTGCGAATAGCCCAGCGATTGTCATGTTCCCTTCGCAGGGACAACGCGCGGGCCATTTTGCGACGCCTCCACGATCCCGCCCCGGGCGTGGCGGTAGGCGGCTGGTCGCCCGGCCACGTGCCGCCGCTGTGGCAGTGAATGCCCCTGTTCCTTCTCCGCCTCCGCCTCCGCCTCCTTTCCCTTTTGCCAGTCTCACAGCCGCGTGCGCTGCAGAACGAGATGAGCCGATACCGTCTCACCTCTTGCCCGCCGAGCTGGGCCCGTGCCCCCCCCTGCCCGCTGTCCCTGTGTGTCCCTCCTGCCTGCCCTGTCTCTGGCTCCTCGCTTCCCTCCCACTCCCCTCCCTCTCTCCGTGTCCTCCCCCTCTCGCCCTGTGTGTCCTCCCCCCTTGTGTGTGGTGTCCTCTCCCTCTCTCTCTCCCTGCTTGGTTGCCTCTCTCCGTCTCCCGTCCCTCTGTCCGTCGGCCCGGTCTGTCCTTTCCTGTCGTCGTCCCTCCCTCGCCTCCTCCCTTTCTCGCTCCTCGGCTCCTCGCTTTCCGGCCTGTCCCCGTCCCGTCCCTGGCCCGCGTTTCTGTCGGCCCGCCCCGCGGTCGGACTAAGAGCGCCGCTAACTGGCGGACCTTGCTCGCGACGCGGGTCCCCCCGGGGATGGCGACCCTTCCCTGGGGGGGGGGGCAGCTCTTCATCCCGGGCGGTCTCTCTCTCTCTCGACGCTCCCGGGGCCACTGGGCGGCCTCCAGACACCGACAAAAACGTCCAATCACCGGCCATCGCGACTTTTCAGCGTCGCCTGGGTCTGAGGGCTCTCGCCAACCAAGTCGGAACGGCCGACCACCTCGGCTTCGAGGCCGCAGCGGCCGAAATGGGTACGGAAAAAATGGGTACAACGACCAACAGCACATGTTGTCCCAAACCAAAAGCGGCCGCTGTTGGGCAGGCGGCCTTCTGTCTCAAATAGACACATGCCGTGGCGGCGCGGACAGCGACTCCTGCTCAAAATGAACAGGACCTGCTGTTGGGCATTGTACCCATTCTTCCCGAACCCATTCCGTTCATGCCTGACCTGCAAAGAAGCGTCATCGCGAGCTAGGCATACCAGCTCCTCGACGGGGTGCCACCACGGCCCGGGCGGCCGACCACGGCCTGGGGACGCGGCTGCGCGGGCAGCCGATGAGGCTCATCCAGGACTCGAGGCCTCAGAGGCAACGTCGAGCGGGGCCTAGACACCCTCGAGTTGTAAAAACAACACGACGTCGGGGGTCTGGGGAGATAGGCTCGGGGGGGGGCGCATCGAAACCCAACCGCACACGCATCACCGACCAGGGGCCTGATATGCCGCCCCTCCCAGGACCATGCGGTTTCGCTATCACAGGCCCATCGCCGATCCATCGGCGATGTATCGCCGATTCCAGGTCGATGTTTCGCGCCTCCTGGGCTGGTCCCTACCTAATGTTGCCCCCGAAAGCCAAACCTCGAAATCCTGCCCAAACAGGGCAAGAACCGCAGGCAGATGAGGCGTGAGGGATGCAATCTCGTCGGCCTGCAGGTGCTGGAAGCGGCAGGCCAGATTCGCGGAACACGCGGAGCAGTCGATTCTTGTGGACCCCGTCGTCGTCCAGCATAGCGGCTGCAACAGGCTGCCCTGGAACGCATGCATCTGGTCGTGGCCCAGCGCCTCGGCATCCGCGTTCAAGCAGGTGGCCATTATCCAATCAACTCCACGCGCTGCCACCGTGGAGAAACAGTTGCGGATCTTGGAATCAAGCCTCCCGTTGACCGCGCCCATGCCTGTGCACGTGAAAAACTAAGCCGAAATGATCGGTAAGCCACCTGGTACTCCCCGGTGCACGTGCGAGGCGCAGATCCTGCAGGGCTGCACGATGTGCCAGGCGGGACAGGAGGAGGAGGAGGAGGAGGAGGAGGAGGAGGAGGAGGAGGAGGAGGAGGAGGAGGAGAGAGGAGGAGGAGGAAGGAGAAGAGGGAGGAGGAGGAGGAGGAGGAGAAGGAGGAGGAGGAGAAGGAGGAGGAGGAACGGGGGGAGGAGCGAAGAGGGGGAGGAGGGATCGAGGATGTGCATGGGGAGGAGGGGAAGGAGGAACGAGGCGGAAGGATGAGAGGGGTGGATGTAGGAGGGAGCAAGGAGGTGAAGATGAAGGGGAAGGCGGAGGCGGAAGAAGAGGCAGGAGGAGGAGGGAGGAAAACTGAGAAGTAGGGAGGAGGAGGGGGAGGGTTTGAATTGTGAAAGCGGAGGATGGCGAGGAACAGCAGGAACGGGGGCCGGCGGGGTCGGCGCGGTCCGCGGGATGGTTCGTGCCCTTCCCCTGGCGCTGGGAGCTCCGCCGTGCCATGAACCTGGCGGGGGGCATCCGCCGCCTCCTTGCCCAGGGGGGACTGGGAGGGAGGAGGAGGAGGAAGAAGAGGAACAGGAGGAGGAAGACGAGGAGGAGGAGGAGGAGGAGGAGGAGGAGGAGGAGGAGGAGGAGGAGGAGGAGGAGGATCGGGATCGGGATCGGGATCGGGATCGGGCTCGGGCTCGTGGACTTCGCGTGTCTGCTCAGCTGGGGGCCAATTGAGACCTCTGCACAGTGCTGCGCCTGGAACTCTGAATGGCGTTTCGTGGTTAAAACGCTACCCTGGGGCGGCCCACTGCTCTCGGGCGGGGCCGCACTGCCCCCTCAGAGGCCCCCCCCCCCCTTTAAGGCGCGCAGCCGTGGGGGCTCCCGCGGGGGACCGATGACTTGCGTGCACCTATACTCGGCCCCCCATCAGGAGACGCGGGAAGGCGCGCGACCCCCCCCCCCACGCACCCCGCACCCGAAGGCCAGGACCGCGCTGCTAAGGCAGGTGAAGGGGGTCGGGAGGGCTGCCTACCTTGGGAGGGCCCGAGAAACGCCTAAGGGAGACGGAAAACCACTACAAACAAACTCCCCTGATAAAGCTATCCTTCCCTTGAGGCCCCTCAGCCCTGCCCCCTCCCCATTTCCAGAGAACCGTGGGGGCGGTGGAGGGGAAGGGGCAGTGGGCAGTCGGGGGGGAGGAGGAGGAGGAGCGGGCGCAGTCCCATGTTGGAGGACATGGGGCGGTACACTGCCCAGTGCGATCAGCTCACGAAGTCGAGCACTTGCTCGAAGCGCCGGTGGATGTCCCACTGCAGTTGTCCGCTGATCTCCACGGGGTATGTCGTTCACTTCTTCAGCTGGCTAAGGGGCCGTGGGCAGTCGGGAAGGGAAGAGGAGGAGGAGGAGGAGGAGGAGGAGGAGGAGGAGGAGGAGGAGGAGGAGGACGAGGAGGAGGAGGAGGAGGAGGAGTGGGCGCAGCCCTATGTTGGAGCACATCGGGTGGTATTCTGGCCAGTGCGATCCGCTCACGGAGTCGAGCACTTGCTCGAAGCGCTGGTGGATGTCCCACTGCAGCTGTCCGCTGATCTCCAAGGGGTATGCCGTTCACTTCTTCAGCTGGCTGAGCAACTTCGCTGCGCCCCTCTTGAGCGGGCCGCGAGGAGGAGGGCCGACCAAGCGTTCTCCTTTCATGTCCATCACCGCGGCGCGCAGCATCGGGACCAGCTTGCGGCCGAGCTTGCGATTCGAACCGATCGCCACAATGAGACGGCCTTGTTTCTCCAAGGCGTTCTCGCCCCTGTTGCGTTTCCATTGCAAATGGGGAACAATTCCGCCAATTCCATGAATGGTGAGCTTCTTCACGCATGCGAGATAGAGTCCTTCAGCTCCTTGCCACGCTGTGTCTCTTGCTGCGCCAACCACATCAGTCCGCTGATGGGCGCGTGTAGGCGCGGGGGGCCTCGACCTTTGAGATCCATGGCCTCGCCCTTCTGGCAGATCCTGGGATATCCCCTGGTACCGACGACCTGCGATTTCCATCGTGTCCGCGAAGCCCCCCTCGGTGTGTGCGAGCGCCCGCGTTGAGTGCGCCGTCGCCGTCAGCTCCGCGATGGCCCTGCTGTCTGCGAGTGCCAGACGGGTGATGAGCACGACCAGCTTCGCGATGAGCTTCGCCTGTTCCTTGCCTGCCTGAATCTGCGCCCCGACCTCCGTCTTGGCCTTCGTGGGATCTGGTGCCCCCCCCCAACGGGCGGGGGTGGTTGAGGCCAGTCGGGTGCCGCAAGATCCGCCATGCGCCCCCGCTGTTGCCGCGAGGTCAGGGTGGTTCTCGGGGGGCAGGAATGCTTCTGGAGGAAGATGGCCGCGGAGGTGCTGGCATGGGTCATCCACGTCGGCCGCTCTGTATTCACGGAGGGCGCGCTGCGGGGATATCACGGGCTGGACTGGGAGAAGCGCGAGGGCCCCCCTGTTCGGGCGCTGGCCTTTCAGGATCGCTCGCTGGAGATGTTTGCCGGCGCCCCCATGGGGCCCGAACGTCTGCGTGCGCGCAGTGCGCGCATTCGTGGAAATGAAGGCGAAGCAGAGATTTCGGACCACATGCAATCTTCTCATATGGTCTCGGAGGTCATGCCGGGCGCTGAAAGTGCAACCGCATGCTATTTCTTCCTCCTCGAGCTGCCAGTCGCACTGCCGATATTTCAGCACCTCGGCGCGTAGAGGTATCGAATCGCCCGCCATCTTCGTTTGAGTCGGTGGCGGGGCAGTGCGCGAAAGAGCCTGAGCTCTGATCTCCGTGAGATCTAGCCGGGACAGCTCCTCAGAAACATCCCTGTCGAACGTGCGTCCAGGGTTCAGGCCGACGTAGCTGCGTGCCTCCTGCCCTCCGTCCAAGTCTTCGGCGGCCCTCTGAAGTCCTTCCGGAGCCTGCGGAACCGCGGGGATGCAGCCCCTGTTGGAGCGCCCCATAGTAGGTTATATCCTCGATCCCCAGAAACTTCTAGAAAACCAATGGGAAGGCAGAGCTCCCGCGAGTGCCTCTCGGGGTCCTTGGCCCAGCCCGCGCGCTAGTGCAAGCAGCGAGCGATGAGCTCCGTCTCCGAAGATGCGATCCCCCAGCGTGCTAACACCTGCTTCGTCGATATCGATCGGACCTCATCTCCGTGGTGCGTCGCGGCTCGCCCCCGCGTCGCTCGTCGACCGAATCGGGCAACAACGTCCGCAACCATCGGCGCGGAAGCGCAAGGTACCACACTCTGCCCCACGAGTAAAACGCGTCTACACCTGCTGCGCAGCGTCGGCCGATCTCCACCTCAGGCGACTGGTTTATATTCAGCATCGGGCCGTGATGGCGACCTGTGGCCATCGTCGCAATCTTTCAACGTGTCCAGGGAATCTTCCATGGGAATCGGAACAGGGACCAGAGGAGCCTGGAAGACGTCGTCGGCGAAAGTGCCCCCCCCACCCCCCTCGCGTTGACCATCATTTCCCTCCGCCCTGCCGTTAATTGAATAGATTTGGTATCTAATGACTGGGTCGCGCGTTCCCATTTCGTCAATTGTCGCGCGACCGTGCCCCGAAAGAGTTGGGCGGCTAACGGGCGCCCCATGGGCCCTGATTCTTCTGTCTCCACTGTGACCTCCCCATCGAGAGTCCCCGGGGAGATCGCGCTGAGCTTGCAGCGCTGCGCGCAAAGATCAATGTCCTCCGGGTTGGCGTGTGAGCAAGTCCACGAGAAGGAGGGGGGGGGGATAGTCAGGGGGCCGACGCGTGGCTGCCGCAAACACAGAAAGCCATGTAGCAGCATGCTTCTTCATACCACAAGCACCCTCAGGATCCCAAGCCTTCCCTCCTTGAACCAGGGAGGGCAGGTCCGAAACAAAAACCTCCAGATGCGGGTCGCGCCGAACGGCGTGGAGACGCGCGGTTCTCTCCGCGCGACCCGCGGCTTGAACGGCCCCCATCCAGCGAGCCGAACACGGCCCGAAAAGGGTAGAGCTGACCATTAGAATGTCTCCGCCAGCTCCTCCCACCTCCCGCAAGCGAAAGCGCTGCTCAGGTCCTTATAACTGAAAGCAAAACTCCGGCCTGCCTCGTGCAAACGCCAGCCAAGACACTGGTTCACAAGAGTGACGCCCTCGCGCCTCTTACCTGGAATGCAAGCGCGCTCGATGCGTTTGTGGGCAACATGACGCATCTTATGGTATAAAGCTTTGTACAGTGCGCTCATCACATGTGCTGTCCGACGCCCCTTCGGGCCAGGAGTGGCCTTCTTCCTCAGCTGCTCACCCTGGCCGTGGTGCCAAGCAAACGGGGCTCTGTTGGTCGATCGGATTTGCCGAACGGCAGCTTCCACGACTTTTTGACACGCACTCCATATCTAGTGTGCATGAATCAAATCCCAGCCCATATCCTGCACTCACAAGGTTCCGCACGGGATCGACGCGCATCATCCACAGCTCCATCGGCGCGGTAGCGACTGGTACAGCTCCCAGCTCTTCATGTTTATGCCCGTCGGAAGTAGCGATTGATGCGCCAGAGAGCCTTCTGTGCCAACTCGTACTCATCAGCGCTGATGTAGACAAGGCCAGGGTCGGGATATTCTGCCAGTGGTTGTTCGACGGTCTTGGGCGTTGCGCCCATGCCTCCCTCTGCGCCAGGAGGTGCTCAGAATGTCTTCAGCTCATCCTCCGTGAACGCACCCCTCGTAACAATCGTCCACCTCGTTGTTTGCTCTATATCTGCATGCGCCCGCGAGTCTGGTGAGCCTCATAGCTTCAGCGAGTGTCCTGCCGTTCCACGCGTCATCGATTTCCTGCAGTAGGTCCTCCCGTCGACGTCGATGTAGCTCCTGCCGCTGTAGCTTGAACTGTTGGGATATGCGTCGTGATTCTGCTTCACCAGTCGCAAGTTTGTCATCAACTGCATGAGTACGCTCCAATCGTAGATTCGCCCGTTATCGTTGCTCTCTTTGTTGCTGGTAGTTCTCGTCTGTCGTCAATTTAGCAGCAACGAAGCACTGTCCAACTTGTGTGAGCAGGGCTTCTATGTATGCGAAGGTCTCGTCTGGCCGTCCGCGCGATGAGGGCGACCATGATGTTAGGAGAACCAGGGTGGGGATGAGGATGAGGAGCAGGATGACATCGAAGGGCCCAAGCAAGCAAACCCCTGCGCGCACCCCCTCCTTTTTTCACGAAGGCGGCGGGATGAAAGAAAAATAAAGAAAAGACGCAGGAGGAACTGGGCAACGGGCACCATGCAACGCGCCAGGCCCCCCCCCCTCGAAGGCTCCCCAGGCGAAGGGCGCCCCATCTGCGCAGAGCTGGCGCTCCGCCGGAGCCGCTGGTGCTCCTCCTCTTTCTCTCCTCCCCTCACCCTATTTGTTGCATGACCCCCCAGTGACGTGCAATCCTCCTCCTCATCCTCTGTCCTCCACGTCCCCCTCCTCCTCCTCCTCCTCCTCCTCCTCCTCCTCCGACTCCTCTTCCTCCTCCTCCTCATCCTTTTCCTCCTCCT